ATTCAGTCACATTTTAATATGTTCTATCTTTAGTCCACAAAAAAGAGGTAAGATGGGATAGGTTAACTAATAAGGACGATTTTATACATAAAAACTTTTATATATTTTTTTTAAATATATATATTTAATTATATGAATATTCTTTAATTATTTATTTATTAATTAATTAATATTTTTATTAGATAAATTGAACAAATATTATATTTATACGTTAAAATAACTAATTATAATTAATAATTTAAATTTAATTAGTTAACTTTTATAATTTAAATTTAATTAATTATTTTTTATAATTTAAATTATAATATTATAATATATTTACATATTTCAATAACATATAAAAAGAATTAATTATAATATTTTTAATTTTAATTTTAATATATGTATATATTTATTTTTTTTAACTGATCAATATGTAAATCTATTCTGTCTTACCAAGTTTACGAATTAGTTGACAATCTAACTTATCATACCTACTTTATTTTGTCATTCCTAATCATCCACCCATACCTTCCTCTCAACCCTTATCATCCCCAAACACACCTACAAATGCTTCATCAAACAACATTTTCTTCGCATACTAACATAGATTATCCTCTTGATACATCCACACTTGTCAAACCTAATCCATAACTCAGCGTTAAAACAAGAAGACCTCTTGAGTATTTTAATGCCTTTATTGTAAAATTAGCACTAATAAATTTTCTAAAAATGTTCACCCAATTTTGTCTGTTAAGCCTTGTTAATGTTTATCACCTTTTTAAACATGAATAATTGCACATGACTATTTAAAGAATATTATTCAAGCTAAGTTATTGGGGCTTAATGAAAAATCACAATGATTCACTAGAAGAAACGTTTCAATTAGATGTGAAAATCAAAACAAGACACATTAGAGTGTTGAGAAACACAAAGCTTGTTTGGTGGTTAAAGGATGTATTCAAAATGGGGCATTAATTATTTATACAAAACAACAACCATTTTTTTAAACATTCATTTAATAATTATTTTTATATTATTATTTATCTATTTTATTTTATTCTATTTCTATCAATAAACCCCAAAAAAAATTATTTTAAGGTTGTCTATATAAGATGTTTGAAAAATTAGGGTGTGAAAAAATCTTTTCCCTTATAAAATAAACACAAGTCATCTAAAAATTGATTAATAAATATTTATTGAATATTATGCAAATCTTTTTTAGTATTTTTTTTCATTATGCTACTCCTTCTACGATTTATATGATTTTGTATATTTGATTAGTGTTTTTGTAATCAAGCAGTATTGGCGATTCTTACTTTGTATATATTTAAGAATGTACAAGTCTTGTTACATGTGAAGAAGATAAAGATAATTTTACTCATTTTTTTTTTTCTTGTTGCTAATACGAACATAAAAAAGAAAGTGAAAACAATGGGGCTCATGATCGTAAAAGAGAATACGAAAAGTTGGCGAGGGGGTAAACTAGGAGAATGTTCATCCCAAACACAATAGCGGCACCCTCATGCATTAACCTGGCATGGTTGGAATTTAGGGCTAACTTTGGTTTGGTTACCACTCCTTTCTTACTCGACCAAACGACAAAAAATATGGTGATATGGAATAGGGGTAGGTGGTTCTTTATAGTGCACATGGTCCTATATATATCAGGACATGATAATGTTGAAATTGATAAGCGATTTGAAAATTCAATTCGAAGATTTATATCCACTATATAATAAATTTTAACATCTTATATAAAAGGGTTTAAAAACAAAAATAAAATTTGATTAACTTTAGTAAGAGAAAATACACATTTTACTTTATATTTGTTGTTTTCTCCTTTGATGTATTTAATTTGGTCTCTCTGATTCTATCTAGGGTTGGGTTTGTTTGTAATGGAGGTGCATTGAGAGGGTCAGAATTTATATAGTGAATGTCAAATCCAGCAGACCTAGGCATAGCTGCCTTGTCTGTGGGTCTGTGTGTGCATCAATCCACAAATAAATAACATTTTGACGCCACAACCAATTAATTCATGGAATGGTAGTTGCTTCTGTATTGATGATGAAAACGAGTAAGAAAAAGTCTTGGAGTATTACTTAAAAAATTTTGCATTAAAAAGTTCCCAACGTATTCTGCCTTTATTTTAATAGAATTCCACTGTTTTAAGAAAAATATTTATTAATTTCATAATCAGTGCTCTAATTATATTTAGTAACAATTTAAAATTTTATTATCCATTACTTTAGGGACAATAACTAAAATTTTATAAATAGATTTTTTTAACATACTAAAAGCATATTTATAACATTGAATATTTTTTTCACATGAAGATTAATAAATTTATTATCACACTCCAACTTATATAATAAGGGTGTTTAATTAGCCAGACAAATACATTTTATCTTCCAAGACAAATATTATGTATGATATGGATAAGTAGTTTAATATGCCTTCAGTTAAAGATTTGAATATCAACATTCTATTGATTCGAGTCCTGTTTCTTAAATAATATTTTGGGTCCTTAGGAGAAAAGTATCTTATTAAAGTTGATAAAAACATTTTCAATTTATGCTTTATTTAACAATAAAATAGTTAATTTTTAAAATTTTTAAAAAATAATTGATAACAATATGTCTTAAAATTTATAATTTTTGTAAACTTTTTGCTAATCTCTCTAAGTTAAAAATATTTTAGTCTAAAACTAATTAATACAAAAGATATTATTATTATTATTATTATTATTATTATTATTATTATTATTATTATTATTATTATTATATAAAGAAAAACCCCTCTTTTATAATTATTTTTGGTGTGATACATAATAACATAATATTCTCCATACTATTATGCATTTTTTAAAATAGTGAAAAAAATTGATATTAAAAGAATATAACAAAGAATAAAATAAAATAAAAATATAATAATGATATAAAAATATAAACAATGTTTTCACTGGTAAATGGATAAAAAGAAATTATTTTCAGATATAAATATAAATTATTTTTTTAATTTATTTTAATATTCTTCACAGCTATATTTATAAATTTTGTTATATAATTTGTTTTACAAATAACATAACTTATATGTTATAGATAGATTGAGACGATGGAATGATTGATTGATGAATTTGGATCCTTGCAACATCTTAACCTTTCACTAGTAATTGCACAACAATCAAGAAAGAAAGAATATATAATAAACGGTTCTGATTTTAGCTTTGATGGGGAGGCAGCAGAGGTTCATAGCATACCCATGGTTGTCATAAAGCAATGTTACCGATACAAATTTATTTTACATATTTAATTTTTTTAATGAATTTCTTAAACTATATGTTTCATCACACACATCACACATCTCTTTGCGGGTAATTCTTTTACATCTCTCTCACGTAAAAGTTATCGCACAATAATAAAGTACTGAAATTGAAAGAAAGAGTGGTGAAGTTAGGAACGAGAAAGAGGCATGTGATTGAAGTGAAAAACAGGAATTAGACAGGAGTGTGGGAAGTGGGTTAGAGAAAGATGGGACGGGTCATATGCAACCAAACAACGTTAATATCTTCGAACTTTCTCCATCACATTGCCATGCCTCGATATTGATGAGAGAAAAAATAATTTGTAACTAGTATAGTACTGTACCAAGCTAACACCGCTAGCTATGCCTCTATTATAATGACACCACATGCTCGTACCAGTCCACTATTCACTACTCACTACACCACCATGTACGTGCTGTAACACCTTTCAACATCAAACTCTTGTGCTAATTATATCTATTATCTCTGCCTTAAACCTTACTTTGTCTAATTTGCTTCAATTTGTTCCATCATCTGTTCCCTTATTAACATAAACACAGACCAGAAGTTGGTGTGGGAAGCGTACTCGGTCTGGTGATTATTTTGTATGACCAAGATATATATGTGGTTAACATAACCTGCTTAAAATAATACAAATATGTGACATTATATAGACAAATATATAAAAAATGTCAGGGTTAAAGATGCTTTGACTCGTTTTTTGTTGTGATTAGTGAGTTGATACTTCTCCGCTCACCCTTGAAAATGGATAAACTGCTACATATATATAGATGTTTCTGTCTTACTCCACCAACATTCTTTATCTGTTGAGACAAAAATACCTTTGTAATATCCAGTTATATGATTTGTAAGCTAATATATATGATATCCAATTAGCGCTCTTTGCCTTCGTAAAGTTATTCCTTTCCCATGATTTCTTGGATGAATATACACATGGGTTGATGTTTGGTGATATCATGTGTGGAGTAATTGTAAAACTTTCAGTGTACACTCATGATCACAGAAATAAAAGCAATCGATCATAAGAAGGTAGTCGGTTTCTTCGACGGATAAATGACTAACAAAACTGAAATGCAGAATTTTATGGTACTAATAGTGACAAAAACACGATCAATTCAACCAATGATTGCAGTCTTAACCACATCATTAATCTTAAGTTCCATCTCAACTCAACTATATAGTGGTTATTTGAGAATGCAGTGAGCTGTAGTTGATTTGTAGTTTCCCCCTAGGTAGGATGCAGTTTAACAAAAGATGGAGTAACGATTAAAGGAAGTGAAGGATGAAGGTTATTTAACATTATGACATTGTCCAATAAATTGAAGTATGAAGAGGGTCGCTGGGAATTAATTAAAGGGGTACCAGCTGTCCAATAGTGCGTGGCTATGCTTTCCACACACTTTCACCAATTTAGAATTTATTCGGAGTTACACTCCAAGCCTACTTTTTCTTTGGCAGCTTAGCCTTCCAATTTGGGAAAGCCTCTTCACTGCTCTCCACCTTTTTCCCTTTTGTTTGTATGAGTTTCTATTCACTGGACTCCTCCTTGGCCTTATTATTGCCTTTGCTCTTCCCTCTATTAATATCTGTGCTTGGAAAGGGAAGCAAAAGAAGATCCAGAGCAGTGTAGAAGCTAAGCTAAGCTAAGCCAAGCCAAGGTAGGTTAGTAGTGAGTGATCCATCGATCGATCTCGAGATGGGTCGTGGCAAAATTGAGATAAAGTTGATTGAGAACCCCACCAACAGGCAAGTTACCTACTCCAAGCGAAGGAATGGTATCTTCAAGAAAGCTCATGAACTCAGTGTTCTCTGTGATGCCAAGGTTTCACTCATCATGTTCTCAAAAAACAACAAGATGCATGAATATATTAGTCCTGGCCTTACGTCCGTACCCTACTCTCTACTCTCTATCTCTTTCTATCCATCCAACATGTGGTTTTTCATCTTTTCTTTTTCTGTTTATTCCGTTTCTTGTTTATTGTGAATCAGCACTAAAAAGATCGTTGATCAGTATCAGAAGACTTTGGGGGATATCGATCTGTGGCGTTCCCACTATGAGGTTAACCAACCAATCAACCACTCGTCTTTCTTTCTCTCTTCTTCTCTTGTTCTTGTAATTATGGTGTTTTTGGTTTTGCTTCCTGATTTTTTTATTATGTATGCTTATTCTTCAAATCAGAAAATGCTTGAAAACTTGAAGAAGCTGAAAGATATTAACAACAAACTCAGGAGACAGATCAGGTAAATAGAATTACATGTAATAAGAGTTTATTTTTTTGCTACACGTGTTCACTGTTTTGGCACAGTTGAAGAAAGCTCATTGGTGGAGTTGTGTGAATTGAAAAAGGCATAGGATTGGTGAGGGTGTGGATTTGGACGAGCTGAGCTTCCAGCAACTGCGCACTCTTGAAGAGGATATGGTTGCTTCCATAGGGAAAATACGCGAGCGAAAGGTAAAAAAAAAAATTTACACTTGCTTCAGTTAAGTAGTTTTTATTTATCAGCAAAAATAACTACTTATATAAGTGAATGTAACAAGGGTGCTCCAACTCCTACATCAGCTTCAAAGACATCAACGTAAACGTAGCTCAAATTTTGAACAGGATTAACACGGCAGTGTAAAAGTGGAAAAGATTTCTTTAACTGTAAAGTTTGGAAACAGTCAAACTCAAAATCATGATCTAAGCTTTATAAGGTTCAATAATCTGATAAAGTCAAACTTTCTTTCTTAAAAATTATAGCATTTGTATGAAATCGAAACACACCATGTGAACACCAACCATATTGACATCCATAATTGCTTCAGTTCAGACTTTTCCCTTTCACTAGATTAAGATAGCTTCTAAAGTGGCCTAAAAAATTGAAATCTGAAGACAAGAGTAAGTACAGGCCTGTACCTGTGAAAAGTATTTATGCAAGAAAATAAGGGTGCCAAGATATTCATCCTTACGAAAAAGAAAAAAGAGTAAACCTTATCTGGTTGGTGAAGGATAAGATGTTTTTCTTTCTTTTTGTTAAAAAATGGAATGAGAAAGGAATTTCAAGAGTTGTTAGTTTTCTTTCTTTCAATTCTGTAGTATCCCATTTCTTCATCCTTTTCTCTAGAACCATAAACCAGCCTTGAATTGGGTCTTCAATAGCTCATAAAAATGAGTTAAATTTGCAAACTATTCCTATTGAGTTTATCTACCAATAATTTAGTGTTTCTTTTCTGTTGTGCCTTCTCAAGGAAAAAAATGGAATTATAAAACCAATTTCACAGGAGGAGGTTGCTGATTTAACTTCTTGACTTGACTATTTGTCCTTAGCTTTCAACTGATACGTTTCTTGTGCATTTTATTTCACAGTTCCACGTGATCAAAACTCGGACTGATACCTGTAGGAAAAAGGTCAGCAATATATTATTAATGAGTGCTCTTCTTAGTTATAATTATTAATGAGTGTTTTTCTTAGTTATGGTCGACTCTTGATAATGTGGTGAACATTGGAATAATATACAGGTTAAAAGCTTGGAGCAGATGAATGGAAATCTGCTGCTTGAACTTGTAAGAACTTGAAAATCTTGGTATATTAAGTTGAATTAAAAAGACATGAAAGTTAGTTGCATATACATATGTTGTTGTTTTGATTTGGTTTCATTGATGTGTGATTGACAATGGAATAATAAGAAGGAAAAGTGTGTGATCCATCCACAATTTCTTTTGCACGATGAAGGAGACGAGGAATCAGCAGTTGCACTGGCCAACGGTGCCTCCACCCTCTATGCATTCTGTCAGCACCATACTCATCTGAATCTTCCCTCACACCAACACCATCACCATGGAGAAGAACCCTTTAAAACTGACGATCTGCGCCTTGCTTAATTGACTTCAACTTCAATTTGCATGCCTCAATCAGTAGTAACCCATGTAAATTATATTAATGTTAACTAGCTGCTACCACTTGTTATTTATGCATGCATTCTACTATCCTCCTATTGGACCTGTAAACTCCCAAAAAAATCTCTATCTAGAAGGTAGAGAATTAACTAGCTTATATGGTGTTTTCCTAGAGTGTGCAAGAATGTCTTATTTGTTATTATTATAAGTTTACATTGAGTGGGTATGTTATATTCCTTGGTTTAAGTTTATGTAATCATATTACTTAGAAGCCTAATCAAGATTAATTTAAAATTAAAGACGTGCAACATAGTAACTTTTTAATATAATCATTCTGTTTAATAACTTGTGTGTGTATATATATATATAAACTATTTTCGGACAAGAATCATTCTTAAACCGAGAAATGAGATCAAAGGCTCTCAACACTAAGACTAAAATTAAAAATAAAAAAGGGTTGATATCCAATGTATATTTAAAATTAAATCACTTATTTTTCTAATCTTTCTCATTTTTCCATTCAGTGTAATGGTTGCATGTTTACACACAAATGCATGCAGGTCTCTTCATTTAAATGTTGCAGCAATGAAATAACTGTTTTAACAATGAATAATGAAAATATTATTGTTAGTAGATGTTCTCATATATGTATATATTTTTTTTCTAATTTTAGAAATTAGAGATATCTAATTTAATTTTATAAAATTGGTTTAATAATATATTATAATATTATTTGATATGGGATTTTTTCATATCTATTATGAAGAAATTTTTTTCGTCACACTCCTCGTTTCACATGAAATTTTTCATCAACTTTCCTTCTCTCAATTTTTTTTTCATCATCTAAGTAGCAAAAAATTCTTGCTTGCTTGCTATCGGTAAATTGAACCTATGAAATTAGAAAGCGGGGGAAAAGTTTTGATTTCATAGTTAATTTAATACATTTTTTTTATGTGAAGGTGAATTAATCAACTCTTATTTATTTATTTATTTTAAAGCCTTCACGAAAGAAAAGTCGCAGAAAGTTGCCCTATCTTGTTAATTTATGTTTATAAGCATGAAAAGTGTAACTTTTAAGAAGAAAAGAAAACTCATATATTTCAATACTAAAAGCTACACTATCAAATTATGTTATCAATTTTTATTAATATTTATGCTATATAATTAAAGTATAATTAATCACGTAATCAATTATGTGATTAATATTTTATTAATAATTTTATATTATATAACTGATTATTTAGTAAATATTTTATTAATATTTTAACAAATATTAATGAAAAATAAACTTATTTATATTTCAAAAATTTCATCTAATTTAAAAAATCTCAAATTTTATTTATTTTTATCTCATAAGAAGAAACATAACTTCATAAGTGAGTTATTAAACTTTTGAGCCAAGGGCATTGTTGTATCGGAGAGTGTAGGATGGAACATTTAAAGACGAGACACGGGACAGGAGGGTAGGTAATTAGGTATGTTGAGAAAATCCATACTCTATGTATATAGTTTTTTTATTTCATTTTCTTAATACTTTTAGTTATAATCCCTAAAAAAAAGGACAACTTTGGGTTATCTTATGTAGTCCATTGCAGTAAAAACACTAGTTTTCTTCGTTAAAAAAATAACAAAATATTGCAATTAAAATCTGTTAACATGAAGGAAGGGTAATTGAGACATCATCTGTTCATTCAAAAGCTTTTTCACCTGGACCAACATTGGGATGGTAGTGATAGCCTCCCACTCAATAACGGAGTTCAAAATCTGGTTAAGTAAAGGCCTGGCCTCAACAGTTTTGTCCTATCACCCAAACTGGGCCCAGCAGATCAATTTATTAATGGGCTTTCAATTTTGAATCCTAACTTGTTCATTTAATTGGAGACATTAAAACATAGAAAAATATGCTTTTTTCATTTTAATAAATTCTCTATTTTTTATTTTATCTATTATTTAAGTCACTAGTTTGTTCAAGATAAAATAATCATATATATATATATATATCCATTATAAAGTTTGTTCTGTAAAAACCCTTACAGAATAACATCACTAAAATCATATTCAATCAATTAAATCGATATCAATTTATTCTCAAAACCATTGTTCTGCATGGAAATATTGTTAACTCAATTTGTTTACAACGAAAATACTGCTTTAATTTCTAAACATCTATGTAAATCTATATTTAATCTATAGTTACGAATATTTTTGTGTGACAACAAAAGATATTGTCAATATAGCATAAATAATAAGTTTTTTTTTAATTTGACTTATCCAAATTCATAAATAATAAGATAAGCATTTTAATTATTAGCGAGTAGCTCAATTATTAACATTTCAATACATAAATAAAATTGTAAATGTGTAAGTAACATCGATATTGAATTCTATTTCCAAACTTTAATATAAGCTGTTGTTTTTTAAAGTGAGTAACTCTAGATATTAGATTTTTTTCCGTTAAATATATCTTTATATTTTTATTGAATTGGATTTGGGTTTTTATATTTTAGAAAATATTAATTAAAATTTTAAAAATTTTATGTAAAGTGTAGTATTTTTATTAATTTTATGATGGTAAATATTAAGAAAAAAAATATCAAATTCATCCGTTTGAAAATACATATTTAGAAGATTATATATATACTAGGTTGCGACTTTTCTTTTTAAGTTGATATCATTAATTTAAAAGGACACAATCATGTGATACTGACATTCTGTGTTCCATGGTATCCATAATTATAAAAAGAAGTATATAATTTAAACCAAAAAATGTCAATTTGAACAATATTAGTTATTAAACTGTATCATAATGGTCGAGGGTTGATGATGTGTGTGAGATTTAAATAGAAGTTATATAATTGTTGCTTATCTAGCAATCATTGTGCTGAAGAAATATGTTGTACCAAATGCATGACTATGGGTGACACCTAATCCAGCAAATACACTGTTTTTCTACCAATGGTTGGGTAAGTGGTTGGAAGCAGCCATGGAAATTATATATTAGTAAAAGATAGACAAGTCCTTTGAATGACTTTGCCAAAATTTGAAGTTATGATAAAAATGTCTAAATAAAAATAACTAAGCTTTAGCATTGGGACCCAAGGCCAAACGAAACCGAAGAAGCACTTTGCAACCACCGCCATCGCATAAGATGCCACTTTCCCTCAATCTTCACCAACCTTACATTGTTTCTTCTATTCCACGACTACCCAATTCCTGCTAAACTCCACTTCTCAGACAATAATCAGACCCTATTTTAGGTTTTCCAACTCATATCCTTTTGTTAAATATAATATCACATTTCTAACAACAATTTATCTTAGTTGGATAATGAGAAGCGGGGCCATGGTCAGAGGAAACATACTGCTGCATACATTACATTATTTACATTATTTGCATAACGGCTACCCCAGCTAGATGATATAATACTAACCCTAGATTCATATACATATAATAGCTACAAGACTGAATAGTCTCAGTACAAACTGCAAAAGAAAAAGCTTTGTAACTTTCTTCTTTCTTTCTGTAAACAATAAAACCACATACAAAAATCTCAATTTAGAAAAGGTTGATGCATCAGACAAGCTTCTGAGCTCAGTTCTGCCTGTGAAGCCACTCACCCAAAAAGTTCTTTAACTACCTTAAGTGAGAAAGAAGCCTACACTCCACAAAAAGCCAACTTTTTCACTTTGTACTCGTTTTTTCCATCACCATCAAAATCAAAAAGTTCACACTCCATCCAACGCTGCTGACTTATTTGCTCACTCCTGCAATTAAGGTTCAAAATCGCAAACACGCACACACACACACACACACACGAGTGGTAAGCGCGAATGGGGTCTCTATTTGCGATTATCACAATTTGGTGTCTGTTATTGGGTGCTGAATCAAAGACACATGAGGGAGATGCAGAGGTTCTGAAGGAGCTAAAGCGAAGTTTGGAACCAGCTTCGGTCATCCCAGGCTCTTGTGTCAGCTCCTGGGACTTCACCGTGGACCCGTGCGACAACCTATTCGGCGAGAAATTCACGTGCGGGTTCAGATGCGACGTCGTCGTTTCAGGCCTGAGTCGGGTCACGGAACTTGCGCTGGACCAAGCGGGTTATGTTGGCTCCTTCTCTTTCACGTGGAACCTTCCTTTTCTACAAACACTCGATCTCTCCAAAAACCACTTCTCCGCCCGAATTCCCGATTCCTTTTCAAACCTAACTCGCCTCCGCCGACTCAGTCTCTCGTCGAACTCGTTCTTCGGCAAGATACCACCTTCACTCGGCGCACTCCCCAGCCTCGAAGAGCTTTACCTCGATAACAACAACCTACGAGGAACAATCCCACCAGGCTTCCACAACCTTAAAAGACTCGAACTCCAATCCAACAAACTCAACACCCCCCTCCCAAACTTGGACCACTTCACAAACCTAAAATACCTCGACCTCAGCGATAATTCCATCGCCGGAGTGTTACCGGCGTTGCTCCCTGCTTCTCTGGTTCAGATTTCAATTCGAAACAACAATTTAAACGGTGTCTTATCGAATGAAAGCTTCAGGAACTTGACGAGGTTGCAGGTGGTGGATTTCAGCTCCAACCGAATGAGTGGTGTCATTCCATCGGTTTTCTTCGAGCTTCCGTCGTTGCAGCAGTTGACGCTGTCCTTCAACGAGTTCAGGAAGGTTGGAGAGCCTTACAGTGGAGTGGAATCGCGGAGCGGGCTTATAGCGGTTGATTTGAGCAACAACAGGCTTGAGGGTTTTTTGCCGTCGTTCATGGCGATGATACCGAAACTATCATCGTTATCGTTGGAGAAGAACGAGTTCACAGGGCGAATAGCGACCCAGTTCGCGGTGAAAACGGTGTTTCCCGAAACGGGAGTGTCCCCGTTGGGGAGGCTTCTGTTGGGGGGGAATTACTTGGTGGGAGGGATTCCTCGGCCATTGTTAGCGCTGAAACGCGATTCTGCGAACGTGAGTTTAGTTGATAACTGCTTGTACAGATGCCCTCATATTTTCTTTTTCTGCCAAGGAGGACAACAGAAGTCATCGACGCAGTGTAAGAGATTTGTTTCAACCAGTGACTAATTTTATTTAATTTTTTAATTTTTTTGCTGTTGTTGATTTACGGCGAGAGATCTTATCCTAAATAATACTGCACAAATATATAAATCTATGATCATTCATGAGGGGGTTTTGGTCAACGCTAAGATGGTGGAGGTACTGCTAGATTTTGTCTCTCCTAGACGTTGCAACTCGCAACCACGTGAACCACGGGTAATGCGTCGTCATCATTCAAGACTAGTCTTCAACATTGCAAATTTCATGACTTTATTGAGTCATATAAAAATAATTAAAAAATTTAGTCTCAACTTTAAGTTTCGCAGGTTTTTAAATCATGAAGAATTTAAGGATTTACTCTGCGAAGTTTGATAAGAACAATAAATATGCTGGGTAAATAAAATTTTATGGTTCAGGACTTTTAAATGGACGGAGTACGGAAATGATACAACCCATCTTGGAACAGCCCAAACTTCGAGTTTGGATCAAGGTCAATTGGAGTTTGTTCATGGATCCACCTATGGGTTTAAGGAAGAAAAGAAAATAACGCACGCAGATAATTTTCTACAAAGTCTTCCACAACCAGCCTAAGGTCAAATTCTCTCGCCTCCCAATTATCCTATGAAGAAGGAGTAATGATATATAAACAACAACTTTTTTTATTAAAATAATAATAATAATAATATTTTCTTTTGTTTTTTTTTCTTTTCTTCTCGTATTCAAAAATTGTTCTAAAATGTTTATTTAAAATTTAAATAAGTGTCAAACTATCATTTTCCATTAAGATGATTTTCACGTCTAAATGTATTTAGTTTATTTTCTTATCTTCTCTTGTCTGTGTGTCTAAGCCTAAATGATCGTGTTATTTATTTCTCGTGTTTATCATTTCATTGTAACTTTTTAATAAGAATTATACAGTAAAGGTTCGTGTGGTTCTGATTTTCGAACTTAATGTCTTAATATTAAAGTCTGATTAATAATTAATTCATTTATTTGTATATAAATATAATTTATTTGTAAATTATTATTAGAAAATTTTAATAATTTAGTGGTTGGATTATATTTTGTTTTTAAATTATAAAGGGTTATAAATAAATAAAAATTATTAATATAAAAAATTAGACTACCGACCAACGTAAAAGACTTTATCCTGCCTCTTAAAAATATTACGGAGAAGTTATAAATAAATAAAAATTATTAATTTAAAAAATCAAATTTTGAGCCCGAAAATTGAAGATTTCAAGGCTTTATTTGTAATAGTAAATAGTTCATTTATTTATCTAGTTTTTTAGGAGTCAATGGGTGTTTCTGGTGAAATTTCGATCGATTTCGATTCTAAAGGTGATTTGGTCCTAATCAAAAATCCTCCCACGCAAGTTCTTTTTACTTAGGCTAGCAGTCTGATTTTCAATCGAAAATATGTATGAGAATCGAAAGTCACAGACCATCAAAATGCTATTTTTTAGTATTTTATCTTTAAAATGTCGAAAGCAGTAAAAAGTATCGAATCGAGAAACGGAATATTAAATTGCGAAGAAATGTAAAGTGCGAAAATCCCAAATTTGCATTAATTGTAAATGACAATAAATCGAAAACAGCGCAAATATAAATGACAAGAAATCGAGATTGCACGAAGAGTAAATGACAGGAAATCGAGATTTGCAAAATGTTAAATAACAGGAAATCGTAAATATAGAAATTTAAACTTTCATTGAATTAAAATGACAAGGAATTGAAAACACAGAAATATAAAACTGCTGAATTTAAGTTGCATCAAAATAAATTACCAAGGAAAATACAGGAAGCGGTAAATGTACTCAGTGAGCAAGGAAATCCAGATTGCCAGAAGCTTCATGGTGTTCGTCGTTTCTCCGGTAGACTTTTCACTATTGATTCTGTTCTCTGCCAATTTCTGCTCCCCCTATTTCTTCCTTCTTTGCTCTATTTATAGTGCATCGTTCAAGTCTTCCAAGAGCAGTTAACACGACTGCTACCACGTTCTACGTGCATATGGCGGTTTATCTCCTACTGTTTTCCACGTTCTCACGATCTTTGATTTCCTCCATGGTTTAGAACCGCTCTCTATCCGTGCGTTTGACTTACTCTTCTCTTTATGGTTTGGCCAAGGTTTTCGATGTCCGTGTTAGGTTAGCTTTCTTCATTTTCGATTTTACACTTTCGAGAACTTCGAATTGCTTACGATTCCTTTTCAACCTTAACGTCTTATCATTCTAGTTTCTTAGGTTTCGACAATAGGCATTTGACTATTCCTTCGATTCTCGATTGTACTTATCGATGTTATGTGTTACGTGCTTTAGACATCGAATGGTTTTTTATTAGTCACGTGTTCTTTCTTTCCTTTCCCTCATTTTCGATCGCTTTTCTCGATTTTCTACTAACAATGGGTTAATTTTTTAAGTATGACCAAATTAAATTTTTGGTAATCTACAAAATAAATACTTATATAAAATAAACTAAGTACTCTTGATAAAAATAAATATATAAAAGTAAAAACAAGTTAAGAATATTCATAAGAAAGTTAAGCTCTCCCCTTTTAAAAAATACGGTATTCTATATAAAAAATATAAAAGTGACTTTGTTTAATAAATCAAATATATTAAATTATAATTAAATAAATGAAAATGGTTAAGAGTTTTTAAAATTGATACCTCAATCTATCATTGTCCATATATCTTATTTTCAAAACTGATAGTTTACTAAAACTATTTTATTTATATAACTTAGGTTATTAAAAGTCATCAAGCACCAGTGGTCTAGTGGTAGAATAGTACCCTGCCACGGTACAGACCCGGGTTCGATTCCCGGCTGGCGCATAATAATCTTTTCACTAGGCATCTAAATTTAATTAATTCGCATACTTAAATGCTACTACCATTAATGAGTCCACGAGCAAATTAAATGTGATATATATGGGACCACACTCATCAAAATTGTAAATATAAAATTCACTTTTCTTTAGAATATAAGCCGAGGGTTGAATGTATGCATCCAAATCATCAATGCAGCCACCATAGTCACGTCACTCTGGATCATATTAGAGATATAAAGGCACCACCACACTAGAAAGTGACGAAGAGTGAATTTAGAAATTTTGTAAGAACGATGATAAGCTTTTGATAAAAACTAAAAAAGGATTATAAAGTTTTTGCATATAATGCAAGGATAAGGTTAGGTGGTTAGCACTTGGGAATTGCGTGAGTGCATGTCACACATACACACAAACGGTTTTTTGGAGCCTTCGGCTTTTCACTTTATAAGTATGGATAATTTGCACGCTTTGTGGTCTCGATCAGAAGCATGCTATGATAACAAAATGGAGAGGAAGAAAATTAGGCCGAGGAGAGAACCAAAATGCGTTTATTGCGTTGCATAGAAAAACAAATATGCAGATCACAATAAGAACAAGCCACTACAACTCACATTGTCGAATGATCTATAGCCCTGGGCTTTGGAATGGCGGAAATCTTAACATCCTCCTTTTATATCATTGATAATAATAAGAAATAAATCATTATGATAAGAAAAAGTGTGATGAAGAAGAGATAAAATTTGAAACACAAATATCATTTGATTTCTCTATCCTCTAAAAAGGAAATAAGTAAAATTTCATTATTAAGTGATACATGAAAAATTAGAATCATTACTTATACATCTTTATTAATATTATTTTTCGATCGGAAGATCCCGAATTAATTATCAAAATTTTGGATTATTTGGACACATGAAAAATTGTTTACTATTGAACATTTATCCGTGTGTGAACGAAAGAATATGTATTGTTACGAGACTTCCTCCTCACACATCATTCTAAAATATGAGAGATAGAGAGGAGTGGCATAGCCCTTACTCAATTGAAAAGAAAAAAATTGTCTTCACTGATTATTTTTTTAAAGCTAAAGCCAACACCTAAGAAAAAAAGAACATTCCTATCCTAGGGCTGATCAGAAAGAAGGAATTCAAACTGAAGTTCAATGTAGACCGAAATTAAAATATCATGGTTTAATTATATATACATATATATATATATATATATATATATATATATATATTTTTTTTTTACTGACATTAATATATCATATATGATTACATCAAAGTCTAAGCTCCCATGGTTAAAACTGTTTGCTATATATTTAGAATATCTATTAAACAAATTATGATAATTTTAAACTAATTTAACCACAGTATATAACATGATTTTCCCTGAATTTGTAATTTATAAATTGTCTTTTGTCTAATCAACTTGTCAACATCATTGAAAGTCTTTATAATTATATCATTCTTATAAATATCGTAATTATAGAACAATCATCATTCAATACATCGTCTTTAATTGGTTATTTAACAAGCCCATTGAGATAATAGATTACTAATACCGCGAACAAATAACAAAAATTCATCCAATTAGAATTGAAAATTAAAATATCATTAACGATTCAGTAAATCAGGAATTAAAAAAATTGGAATACATTCTATATAAAAACAACTAATATAATGAGATATTGCATTTTAAAAAAATTTAATTAATCAATACAATTGTAATTATAATCCCCATGTAACATATATGTGAAGAAAAAAATTATATGAATTCAACTTATGAAGTCTTCCAAATAAGGTTAGGAAAAAAATTGACCTAAATCTAACCATAAAAATGTGATCCTATGGTAGATAATAAAAAAAAATTCCCATTAACAATTATATTAAGAAATTTAATCATGTAACAACTTGAGTGGTCTAAAAATATGAAAAAATAATCTAAGAAAACGAAAATACATCTAAACTTGTTCTCACAAAATAAAAAATAAAAAAATGTATATATATATATATATATATATATATATTTTTTTTACTTGATTGTAGGTTGTATATTAGTAAAGTTCCTTAAGGATTTAGTATTTGAAAGAGTAAGGATATTTAAATATTAGTTTCATGATTAGTTTTTACTCGATATTTAAGATTATGTACATCATGAATTCTCCGAGAGACTTCGACGTATAACTTACCTAGGA